TTGACTGTGCTAATGACAGCTATTTTCTGCTTCCATTCTTTCGCTTACACTTCGATTGTAACTTCGCGCGAATTCGGTTACCTTCTGTAACCAAGCTTGTATCCTGGCACGATCTCGGTATCCTTTCGATGCCACGAGATCGCCAGCTAATAAACATCGACTTGGTCCATTAACTGTCTTCTGATATTTGACTTCTCGGGGATTTTATGGATCTATTTGGTTACGTCCAACCCTCGCCTTCTGATTTATCTGGCACGTGTTTCCTGGTAGCGGTGTTCATAGTTAATCTCAACTCGACACCACGCTACAGACTATCGAAATTTCTCCCAGTTGTCAGAAATTCATAGGACGTTCATGAGACGTCAAATGAATCGTGTCAATAGATTTACATCGACGAATCATATGCCTGATCAACTTATGTTTCAGCTTCCAGCTAGCAGTATACTGTATTTTATCCAATTCAAATACTCTATGTATTCGGAAACCTCAGTACAAGAATTTTCCGTTTCATAACACTGACAAGGCTCTATATTCATAATCTGACTTCGTAATAGAGAGAATGGTGACATATCCATCATGTAGAAAGGAATAAGAATACGCGACGTGATGAATTTTTGAAATCATTCTCTATCAGCTATCAGTCTACTTGGTCCATTATGAAGTAGGTGGAATCCAAAAAAACCGTTTTCTGGTATTCTGTCTACAATAAAACCACATTCATTTTTGTGGAAAGTATTAAACACAGCTTCACGATATATATGGCTTACTATCCATTGACTAATCAGTATGTAATACTGAATAAATAGTGTACTTTTTCAGTGAAATCAGTTTAATTGGGAAAACATTACAAATATGAAGTCCCCTTGGAATGTGTTATTTTATAAGAAACCAACCATCTAACCCATTCACATCTTTCTCTTTGCACATCCTCCGATAGAGCGAGACAGTGAAACACTAGAATCCATGTATGCAAGTAAAAGTATGAAAGTTATACAATATTGTATTTAGAAAATATACTACATAACGAGCAGGTTGTAAGAGGCAGTGTAATCGAAAACGTGTATTTACGAGCATGTCGCTAATAGTTATATTGATCTCTGCTTTTTTTAAAAACACAACTCCATTTAATTCTGGTTAGCACATATACTTACTTCTTGTTTATATCTATACAGTTATCCATTATTATTTTGTGATGTACAAAGAATAATAAAAAGTAATTGAAATATTATTTACTACATAACCCATATTGTGTAGTGTCAGTTACTATGTTAGGCCCATATAAATTATTCTAGCTTCTGGACAGGTTAATTTATCCAGTCTTCTTGAGCCACGTTTTGACCTTTTTAGTTATTCACTTATCAACCCTTACTGCTTTTATATGAGCGTATGTGTGTGTACATCCTACTCATTACATATCTGTAGTTTATTTTTGTGTGACTATAAATTTTTAATTAAATCGAGTTGCCTTTCACTCCATTTCCATTGCACGTCATTTCATTTCTCTACCTTCTCTTCGCTTCATTCCTCTGATTGTTTGTTCAAATCAATGAGTTTACAAAATATACGCATTCAGAAATCCATTCTCGTATTTGGCTTATTTAATTCTGTTATTCACTAACGCGAGTTAAGTCGATAAATACATACGGGAATAGTCAGGATGTATATTTCGACAGTAATTTTTTAATTAACATCATTTGTCCGATCTAATAGGGGCCAGGTCTCAGGCGACAAAAGTGATGAACCCGTCGATAACATCGTCCGATCTAGCTTCAATCGACTCATGATCTCAACTATTAAAATTACTATAATATCCATAAAACCCCTTCTGAAAATATGATATCTTTACCTCTAAACCTTCAGAAGCGTATTTGTAAAGGTCAATTAAGACGATAACAAATATTTGTTTCTGTATATGTTTGACTTTTTAGTTAGTGACATTTCTGGCTAACAATTAATAATAGTGATTAAAAAACAATAAATCACCACACTGAGTTGGAAGTATTGTTACTGTTGGGTCAAAGACCAGTATAAATATTTAACAAATTACTGAATGAGATTAAAGAAACAGTGAAAAACTATTTTCAAAATGGAAGTAATGCTAGGCTTATGATAAAATGCTTTAAAATAGATGAAATTAATTAATAGAACTATTAGAAATGTCTAGTGTTCATACTAAGTGGTTATAATGAACATACCACAGGTTTTTTTTCAATTTTAACACATGTCCAAATCATTTCACATAGTGAATGATTATAAGTGAAAAATTTCTATATTTAACCAGAGCCTCGAAAGACACCTCAACGTCAAACTGAGTAAAGCATCCAGTGGTGACGCTTACCTTACTGGTCAAAGAACTTGAACACCAAAAGCACGTATCTCATTAAGAAACGAAGACCACGCTGGTGAGAAACAAAACAACGAAAGTAAGGGATGCATCAAAATCAGTTACTCAAGTGCATCGCCTGTCAGATGAGAAAGATGCAATAACAATATTTGTAAGGTGTACGCTTCGCCAGTTAGAATAAAGTTCACAGTGTTCAAGTTCTTTTTTTGTGGTAGGTGATTAAGGTTCACTACCTTATCCAGATTACAAAACTCAACAATAAAACAGGTACATGCTTAGTCACTCGCACCTAGTCCCCACATTTACGTTCAGAGTATTAGAAATGTCCGCCAACTAGACGAACAAAAGAGAAATATAAAGTCACCCGTACTTACGGGTACATCTCAAACGGTGACATTCAGAAATATGACTAAGAAATCTATAACTCAAGCTAATTACAAGATGAACATATTACCATATTTACCTAAGAATTCAACAGCTCCTTCAGCGTCGATTACAGAAAATGTGAAAGAATAATCGGTGGCTACTTGAAGAGATGATGAAACGGTAACCACTACGCCGAAATCGGCGGTAAAATATTAGATATTAAGAGGCCCCTTTGATTCTGTTTTATATCTAAGAATCTGGATGTTGTCTGCTGAAACATAGGAGGGCAAATTTTATACCTTCCTTGGTATAGGTATTACTCTAGTCATAGTGTGCCACTTGTGCAGAACCAAAAGCTCCTTTACTAAGAAGGACCCTGGAATCAGCATAGATAATAGAGGACACCGTACTAATATCTTGGAAACTGACTGTCCGGTGGTATCTGAATATTAAAGTTAAGCATGACAGACCGAGGCCTGCAGGAGATGCTGTAAGAAATTTATCAATAACTACTAAAGAACCAATCAACATGGTTGACGATGGGGTACGTCATTTGACTTCTGGTAACCCGGACAAAACTGACGTGTAGGGCGTATAGAACTGGTGGTTATAAATCCATAAAATCACTACAATTTATGTTTTCCGGATTCCTCATCTGCCGAACCTAACAACGACTATCTCTCCTCTACTTGCTATAAACTTCAGAAATCATGGGGACTTAATCAATGTTATTTTAACGTGGCACAACACGAGGAATGGACTGACTTGCGACGTTCGATTTAGTGAAGACTAAACAAGATGAGCAAGAAGACATCAGAGCAATTGAACAAAATACACTGAATGGTCATTTGACCTTGACAAACAACTCTGATGCTGTTATAAAAAAGCGCACCGGACATTCACGTACTTAGACAGAAATGTACGAAGAGTTGAGCGTAAAATTTGAGAGATCAGCAATACATGTTTTCATGCCGTACCGAAGATAGTAGTTTTAATTGAGATCTGTTTTTCTTCTGACGTCACAGATGGCGAAGTGAGCTCGCAAAGTATGAGACCTTCAGATGTGACAGGGAATATGAAACAACAGCCGAGAATCTGTTTATGGTGGTTGTACGAATTACTGATTCCTTTGAACTTGATTACCCGCTTGTTACGAATTCCAAAAACAGTACGTTCGTTCGTGCTTATCTAATTCTGTCTGGCCGAGGTCGTACTAATCCGAGAATTCCTAGTTGGCACAATCGTTCGAATATTTCTAATCACTATATTTGCGTCCGATATCATAAACAGTAAGAAACGCGTACCTCGTAGAAACTTCGCGTATATTTCTGAACACGTTAATTATTTCGCTTCTTTCCTGTTATTTTGTGCACATGTATTTTGGAGCAGTGTTAAAAAATATTCATGGACTGCTTAGTTATCTCATGGCCAGTTACAATTCCAGTGATTATTTTTTGCCCACTCGTATAAATAATTAATAACTCCTAACTATGTACTCACATGCGTCTACGAATGTCTGTACATTGAGATGGTGGAAAAGATTTGTAGCTCAGGTGGATGATTTGGGTGGGGTTTTGTTCTCTGAGCTGGATGGATTGGTCGTAGGGCTTTCATCATTCTTCTGAACGACATCATCAGCACAAACTTCAGATAGAAGACTTCTATCTCTATCCTCGAAATATACCAGCCCAGTCAAATCAGAAGACAAACAAGCAAGGGTTCGAAGTTATATTCGAAATGCCACTAGTAGGTTGATGAACATCTGGTCTGAAGATGCCACAAATATTCAGAGCTTCATAATGCCTATGAAGATTTATTTAGCGATACAGGTCTAAGCTGGCTTACTGTTAAAAGCTATGCGAAGCATAGCGTACCCGCTCACAACCTGGTGCGGATGCGTGATTGAGCACCTTAGCCCAGGTGAGTACAATTAAAATAATGTGGTCAGAACCAAATGTTGAAGACCCACAAAGCTATTGATTTTGGAGATTTATTCACAGCTACAGTATGTTTACAATGAAGTTTAGTTGGTGGGAAATAGCATAAAATTTCATCGTTTAAGATCCACATTGTCGTGGAATTTCCGACAAAATTGAGATGAAACCTACAAGTTAGCCGTATATTGTATATTGATATAGGGCTAACAACCTAGGCTACTTGCGGCTAAAGTAAACGGACCAATAAGGTAACCGCTACTTGACCCTGAAGTACTCAAGAACCTGCTTTGTGTGTTTTTATGTATCAATATGTAGGTGAAAATATTTTTTAGTAACCTGTTTGTTGTGAAGCCGTGCTCAACCTCAAGTCTATGTGTTTAAATATGGGCACTTTAACGTCTGGTAGAAAGTTCTACCTCATCGTTATATACTAATTAGCGTACATTAATGTATAAATGACAATTGTCAGCGTTTATCATTGTCAACAGCCGATGTTTATTATTACTCTAAGAATTGGTGTTGAATTCGCACAATTCGTATCAGAAGACTTATGGAGAAAGACCAAGTCACAATTTGCAAATCTGGATAGTTCCTTCAGAATAGTGTAGCTTAACCTTTCAAATATTATAAAACTTTCCTTTAACTAGGAAAGTTTTGGTTGAACCACGTTGTCAACTTACTTTCCGGTGGTAGGGTTTTCTTTTTAATGCTCAAACCTTAATTCAGTAGATACGTATTTGCTAAAATAAGGATTGAGCACTAAAAAGAAAACCGTATACGGCTCTAAAAATTATTTTAAATTGATTACCATCAAATGATCTTCCAGGAGTAAATACACTTGCGCGTCACAAAAGCAGATAGATCGAGGTTTATGTATATTATTTTATTCTGCTGTAATGCTTCATGTGCTATGGACAGGTTACAGCATCTCCGTATAGCAACTCATTAATAAAATGGGTTTCATATATCTTTTTTCTGTTTTCGTTAACGTTTGTCTTAAGCCTACACACAAGAGCTTAGTTAGTTAGTAATTCCCATGTGTTCATATTAAATTCCGACTTTTAACATGTATATGAGAATGTTGTTTAGTTATGTATGTAAAGCATTCTTTTCTAACTGCTCATTAACAGACTTTTTACCCGCCTCACTACTGGCTGTACATGTTCACCTTTTTTATTTGCTTGCTCCAGACTGCCTACTAGCCAACGATTGTACGTGGATTGGCTTTTTTCCTCCTGCTGTTGAGTGACTAAGTACACTGCTTAAAAATGAGTTCATGTTGGAACGAAACCGGTTGGTGGGCTGATCAAGAAGGTTTGTCATTTGTCACTAAATTAACCTCATAGAAACCGAACTTTCGTATGCTCGTGACAAACTGGATTCGTTGCTGCAGATCTTAAAAGAGGACCCAGCTAAGACGTACGATTCACATTTATGATGGACATTCATGGGCATATTTTTTTAGCAAGACCAGCACCAAGTATAAGGATGAAATGGCTGGTCGGCGAGATTCTTCAGAAAAGGAAAAGTTTAGGAGTCCATTTTATAAAGTATCTCCGAATGATATTAAAAGGAAGAAACGACGAGTACCATCTGAAGAAGAAGAAACATACAAAGGTTCTGAGGAATTAATATTTACTAACATTTTAGAATCATTTGTCATAAAGGTTTTTGAGAGAAGTGTGGACTTTGGACAGTTTAGCGAAAACGCTCCTTTGTATCCAATGGCTAGATCTTGGATACGTAATCTTAATCAGGGTGATTCTTCATCATGGAATGATGTTCCAAATGTTGATGATGACCAGGAGGTACGTTACCCAATTTTAACTGTTTTGTTGAGTGATCACTCTTTACCTAAAGATATCTAATTCCAGGCTCTGCGTTGAATATAACTGACTGGTATCATGTAGACTCTGACTTTTTCATCTTAAGTGGGCCTCATTGTTGCCCTAATGAAACTCTTGATGTTACGTAAAATCAGCACTTATTAATTCGAAGACAGATAGGCAGCAACCACATAGACTATGGACCGAGAGTTCAATAACATTTTTCTTATAAGCTTCAACTGGGAATTTCATACGTTGTGGGATGTGTCTTGATTGAACCGTCTGCAAACGTCTACCCACTCATTCTTATATTTGTTATGCTAATCTGAATAAGTATTCGTGTTCAGTTTGTCTAGCCAGCATAAGTAAATGAATCCTCACAAACTTACACCTGTTGGCTCGTCACCTTTTTCTGTAACTTCACTTTGTACACATACTTTTCCAGTCTCAGGTTCCTATAGTATACCAGTCTAACTTCGGATTTATCTGCGATTGAGAACTGCTCAGTATTGTCTATTCCTCCCGTATTTTTTCATCGTTATCATTACCAGTACAGTCATAGCGACTCTCAACTGACCCTCAGTTCTCATGTGAACCATGAAAGATAACCAAATAAAGCAAATAAATGGTCACAATAAGCTGTTAGTGTATCAACAGTTCATAACAATAGTGTACTTAGTTTCCGGACTGCTACTGTTCTTTGTGAATGAGTACCGCTACCAGATGTTGCTGTTAACGTAAAACCTGATAAAGTGCATATTAAATCTAGGATCTCGTTTTTCTGACGTTTGTTATCCTCATGTTGCACTCAGTTTAATCTTAAATCGTTTAAAGTCATTATCCAAACAAACTTCTTGTGTTTCTTATCTGGTTTTCAAATCTCTCCTAAGACATATTCGTTATCAAGTCCGCTTCTGTGTGACTACAATAAGCTGCTAGACTACAATTCACATTAGTTGCATGATCGTTGGGACTCGATCCCTTTTCACGATCAAAGGCAATATCTCACGCAGTGTCATTTTGACCATATCAACTCACCATCATAGTCCTGTTATATCTTATGCACTCCTTAATTCGTAGTCGGTAAGAATTATTTTGTGAACTAATAAACATCATATCTCTATCGTTCCTCAATACAGTAACAATCATCACTATTTAGTACGGTCTTAAAAGCTAGTACGTTACAAATGAATGGCTACCCTAGCTCTTTTTGTATCGTATTGTATTCATTTTGTAACGAGTAGTGAAACTTTGCTTTACCATCTAGTTTTGGCTTGCTGGTAAACGGCGTAAAAACTTTTCAATAGAGTCAACCAACAAAATAGATGAGTTATACAAACACTGCAAATCCGACAAGCGTACATGTCATTTTACACAATATTAGGTCGTTGTTAATAACTTATCCTAAAGTATGCCCATGTTCTTCATTTGACTACTGAACAGGGTGAGCTTTGTATTTCAGAAATTATTATCAATTACCAATTAGGAAAAGATGGGAATCTGTTTCCTGAAAATCACACTAACCGTTACCACATTTAACGCAAAGATTTTAGCTGCATGAATAATTGAAAGCTGGGTAAGGTGTATAACTGTGAAGTAGGGTAGAAAAGTACAGGCGGATCCAAAGGCATTTTTAAATTCATTATTCACATGTTCAAATTCTATAATGGGTTCGAAACAAACCAACGATAGACTCAAATAGACCATATTGCCATCAGTCATCGTTGGAGAGGGTCAATAAAAGATTGTCGCTCGTTCTAAAATACTTGCTTGGACTCTGACCATGCACTAATACGGGCACGCATCTGCTTGGGCCTCACTGGACACAGAAAAGCCACACTAAGAAGACCCATTAAAACTGAATTGAGTGACGATTAAGCCAAAAGTAGATTCCAGAATTAACTGAGATCACACTTAGATAGTTGTGAAAGCGAGGCTGACCCAGATGTTGCATGAATAGATGTAAGAACAGCTGTGGAAACAGCAGTGACATCTATTAGTGATTCAAACCAAAGGGTTACGTAAAACAAGTGGATTTCTACTAAGTCTCTTGAACTGATAGATCCTCGTAAACTCATCCCTTCGGGCTCTGAACACGGTGAAGAACGAGAACAAATCAGTTCTAAGTTAACTAAAAGTCTAAGGAACGACTGTGAGCAGTGGTGGGCAACAAAAGCAAGAGATGGAAAAGACAGCGGCTGCAGGTAACACCAGACAGCTTTTCAGACTTACAAAAGAAACCGGAATTAAGAAGTCAAATGTTAGTGAAACTATTTCGGAAGACGACACTCTTATCCGCTCCCAGTCCAGACGTTTAAAACGATGGGCGGAACATTTCAGAGAACAGTTCAGCTGGCCTTCAGCTACTCTACAACTACCCTCCATTCCCAGACAGTGTGAATGGAACATTGAAGTAGGTCCCCCAACTCTAGCAGAAGTTCAAAAGACTATAGTTAATCTGAAACGAGGATGGGCAGCTGGTCCAGATGGACTGGCTCCAGAGGTCTTTAAGGATGGTCGTCCAATTTTAGCGATTAGGTTGACTAATATTTTAGCTAAGATCTGGGAGTTAGACGTCATTCCATCTGACTGGTCACAATCACTTATCGTCCCAATATATAAGAGGGGGTCAAAATCATCCTGTGACAACCATAGAGAGATTAGTTTAACTAATATAATATCTAAAATACTAGCCTCGATAATTATCAGACGCTTAACTAAGACTCGTGAACTGCAAACACGAGAGAATCAAGCTGGCTTCAGACCTGGTCGTGGCTGCATCGACCACATATTCACCATTCGTCAGATTCTAGAACACAGGCATACTTATCGGCGTCCGACAATGGTGGTCTTTCTTGACTTGAAAGCAGCATTTGACTCGGTAGACCGCGAGATTCTATGGAAGTGTCTGACATTGAAAGGCGTACCTCAGAGGTAAATAAACCCTGTGAAGGCCCTTTACTCGAACACTACCAGTCGAGTCAGAGCTTATGGCGAACTGTCATCTGCTTTTGCAACCTCAAGTAGAATCTGGCAAGGCTGTCCACTATCTTAATTTTTGTTTAACTTTATCACATACAAACTGATAGAAATAACGCTCTCGTCGACTAAATGTTCGGGCATTGGTCTCCTACCAGGAGTTCCATTTATCAACTTGGAATACGCAAATGATATAGTCTTGTTTGGTGAAGATTCTGGTAAAATGCAGTCTTTTGGTGGCACTGAGCAGCAATGCCAGAATATTTGGGATGCATTTCTCCCCCTCTAAATGCGAGTTGTTGCTTCAGAACCGGCCTGCGTCAACACCTGAACTAAGGATAGGGAGTGAAGTAGTGGAACGCGTTGACAACTTCACTTATCTTGGAAGTCTGATCAGCCCAAATTGGTTAGTGTCTGATGAAATCTCTGCACGGATTCGAAGAGCTCGTTTGGCGTCTGTCAACTTACGTCACCTATGGCGAAGGCGAGATATCCGTCTATAAAAAAAAGGTGAATATACTGCTCGTCAGTTCGTTCTGTTCTACTTTGCAGATGCGAAACGTTAGGAAGGTACTCGTAAGCTACTAGTATTTGGCCACAGATGCCTCAGGAATATTGCTCTCATCTGCTGGGATCACCGGGTAAGTAATAGTAAGGTTAGACGCAGAGTATTAGGGAATGATGGTAAATCAGTTGGTGGGTTTGCAAATATTCATCAACTGAGATTGTTCGGCCACGTGTTACGTATGCACGAACACCGATTACCACGACACGCAATGCTGACTAGTGTTAAAGAAAGTTAGAGGCGGCCAAACTAAAACGTGGCATCAGTCCACAAAGTCACCAACTTCTGGTTTGAGCCATGTTGGTAGGTGCAGACTACTTGGTTGGGGCCCGCGTGGCACTGAATAATGGATATATTTGGTTGGTGACAAAATCTTACTGTGAACCTAATAAGCAGTGTGGGATCTTCTGTGACTTCGATGCACTAAAATCTCATATAACAATCCTGGAAATTAATGAGCATTTTTCTGTATATTGTAGCCAATCACATCGATGCCTCTATAGACGTGTACTAACAAACGCCTACCATATTGTTAAATAAGTCTTTTCTACTACTTAGTGTATGGTACTTGCTCATTTTCTAGAATTTTTATCTATATCTTTCCGTATGAACTAGTTTTGATGGTTTGTCTTTGTTGGCATTTCTAATATAGAACAGTGATCAGTTGCCTGACTGTCATTACACGCTACCTAAGCCAAGTGACGGATTGACCGATAATGACATCAGGATACCGCCTCCTCTCCCATCGGACGGTCAGCCATTCCTTATAAACGTTGAGGTAATTTTCGGTGCTTTTGTCAACATTCTAAAAACATTTAGAACCCACCTAAGGAAATGTCTCCTGAAGGATTATTGGAACAGCACATTGTCCGTTGGAGAGAAATCCGAAGAAAGTAGGTACCTTTTTTTTAAACTGTCGGACAATTTTATGTATACTTTCATAATACATCAACTCTATTTATCCAAGAAGTGATGGAGTATCTTACAGACTAATAGCTTTTTTAAGTAAAATGGTTGACTACATCGATAACTATTAGGCGAATTGTTGCAAATTAGTCTCATTTGAAATGCTTCTTGATCGAAAGTTTGGTTTCACCTTAATATCTACGGCTCATCTTAAATGCAAACCACACAAACATTTTGAACAGTGGTCATCATTATCACATAAAAATGAGATGGAAATACTGTCGGAGGCGATAAGGTCGAACTAACCTAGTTACTGAGTAATGGAATTACCGAACTCCTGTCCCACAGTCATTTCAGAGAAAGTTACGTGACAAAATATAAGTATCACTATTAAAATATCGAATTCAGTCTTTCTATAAACTGCGGATCATAATTTCTGTCCGCTACTGATCATCATATCGGGTTAGCGAAGTTATTTGAAGTACAGTTTGCAATGCTGATTGTAGTACATTTTTAATCCCACCATGCTAACTGTTAGCTAATGTCCTTGTTCCGCGACACTTCTTTATGCTCGATCTCCTTATTTTGGGGTTTTCCCTAGTGTTATAAGATTTTGGGGGAATATTGGGAAAAACCCTAAATTCCCCCAAGCATTTTGGAGATTTTTCCCTGACCTGGGGAAATTATGGGAGTTTTGTGCTATTTCTCAAAAGTTTTGTATAACGGTTTCCCCAAAATAGGGGAATTGAGTGTAAGCGGTATATTTCGCCTTCTTTAATTTTTTCCATTTGAGACGTCCTATAAGTTTGGATTTCCCGAAGTATCTGTTGTCGTGTAGAATAAACACTATGACGTAGTCGTATTTTTCCAACGTTTAACCCATCAAACCACACTGTGAAGCTTTCGGGACAGTGTAAACTGATACCATGAGTTTATACAAGATACTTTTGTGTAATAATATCATGGTCATATTGAATACTCTCTGGTTTTTCTAATTTGCAGATGGAAAGCTGCCTGTCGCGATAACGAAGAACGGTATTTGGACTCTTATCTTATTCTCAAAGAAACGTATGACAAATTCTGCAAGGACATACCATAAGCTCCGTCTTATAAAATAAATGTATTTGTTCATAAAGGCAAACACAAATTATAAAAGTGTCTTTCTGATAATTCAGTAACTTTGCACCATCGTAACCACTTTCCTTTGCACAATTTAGCGATAGTTGGGCTGCCATGTATTTCAAAACAGTGGGGATCCTTAAAAACAGTAAAAGAATCGGTCTTTAGGTCACATTTACTCTATAGACATCACACTTGATAAATGCACAGGATATAATTACTAAAGCGAAATTAAATCGTCATTTAGATTCAACTATTTCATGTATGTAATAGTATATCACGCCTCACTACGTGATACCAAGTTGCAGCGTATTGGTTGGTTGTAGTCGCCTTGATCGTTGATATGTTTTCACTCTTAGTTTCTCATTAGGTTAATAGATGTGGATTTCAGACTTCCATGCTGATAACTTAGGAAACACTAATGTTTAAAATCCACAAACAAAACTTGAAGAACCACATTTGGGACTTCGAATTCAGGTTTACAAAAGCTTTCATCGCTGTTTGGGTTTGTGTATACAAATTCATTGGTAGTATTGGGAGCATTTCGCCATATTTAAAAGCAAATGGAATTTTAGCCTGCACTGGTGCTGCGCCTTGGATTCACTTAAGTAGTATATACACTTTTGTGTATAGTCTGGTAGTGTTTTGCACCATTCACTTCCTCTTATATTTATGTTCAAGTGTAAGATGAATATGGTTGATAATGAATAATTTTATTAATTAATGAGTGGTTTAAACTATTTAGTTTACAAAGTGTTAGACTGTTGAGTCAAAGATTTTAGGTATTGGTTTAATTGTCGGGTATCAATCTTAATCTACACACATGTTCGTAACACAAACGAGATCTGATTAGTGTTTTAGACATCACTTAACCAACTTACACAAATTAGCAACATTGTTGGCTGATCAGGAAACGTTTTTACTGCAATGATTCCTTTTGATGAACTGTCGTCGTATCCTCCTAAAAAGTTAAACGAGGTTTCTACTTACCGAGCATGACTGGTGATCCGTGTACTTGAAAATGATCAACAAGCAATTTGATGATTTCCTCCGTAAAAAGGCCATTTTTCACACGTATTATCTTAAAATCATGCTAACAGCTCTTTAAAGAATCAGGACCTACCTTTGTCACGTATTGTATTACTAATCCACATTCGTATGTTCCAATCCAATCATGAGAGCCTACAAAAGCTCTAGGCTTGTCCCCAATTTCATGCAATATATTTTGAACTTCAAGTAAAGTAGGTACATCGAAAGGACAGGATTTCGTGAGCTTGTACCAAGATAAAGTGGTTTGCAGTGTTCTGTAACCACAGCCCCAGCCCTTAAAATAATTTGTTTTTAAAACTTACTTGGTCATTCACACCTTGAGCACCATAATGATAATAGTAGCATGAACCTTTAAAACCAACTATGTAGTACTCCCCCGGTTCCTCATCAAGTGCTGACAGACACGCATCTAAACATAATGTCAACATAGATTTTCTGACTCAGTTGGATAGAATGTTCTCAACTAGCTTCGTAAAAGGAATTGCCACGGTGGAGTAATATCGGTAACTGAAAAGAAACATTCTTTCGATCGGTGTATGTGGACATTAGAGAAAAAACAAACTTAGGTGCTGAATGTTGAAAATATGAGATCACCCCCAAGAAAACTAACATGGTAAATGGTTATGTTTACGAACACAAACTAGTTGGTGTAGCTACTTTATAAGTGCAGCCAACCTGGGTGAATATGAAATCACCCAGTCGTTCACCGTGTATAAACAACTATCATCTTTGAAGTCGAGGTTATTTACGGATTTCTATGAACACATGGGATATGAGACACTTAAGTGCCTCACTATACAATTGTATAGTGAAAAAATGGGCTTGGCTGGCACAAACACCATACGAGAATTGCTGTATTACATTTGGTAGCTATAGCTACTGTTTTAGAATATATTCTAAAACAGTACTCAGTTTTGAACCGCCTTGAATGGTAAGGTATATTTTAGGTGCCTTGATAATCCCGAAGGCGAATATTATGTTGTTTTTGTCGAGGCGATGACAGATAGCCACCTACCTACACTCATCAAAGTGGTGTGACGCCACAAAGATAGTTGAAAGGCAACGCTTTAGGAGTATCGTCTTCTGTCGGAGGTTGCTGTGCACTTGAAGGTCAAACCATCGTAAAATGATTGGTGCGTCGCCCCGACTACTCGTAAAGTTTTGCATAAGCGGTCAAATCAAGACATTTCTAGAGCTCAGTCACGCTGTCTGATAACATCAATCTTTCAAGTAACGAAAACGATACCATCGTGATGATGTACGATGTAGGACCAATCTTCAATGATATTGTAGTGACTTTTATCACGAGAACACGAATGGTTTAATGAAAACAATTATTATTATAACCAATTGTGCCAGTGCTTGATTTAATGTGCTCTTTGTTTAACTGTGCTGGTGATAGCTATATTGTGTTTCCATTATTATTCTTATACTTCGATTGTGACCTTGCGTGAATCCGGTTACGCTCAGTAACCAAGCTTGCATCCTGGCATGATCTCGGTATTCTTTCGCTACCACGAGATCGCCAGTAAATATATCTCGACTTGGTCCATTAACTGCCTTCTGATATTTGGCCTTCGGAGGATTTTATGGATATCCTGGCACGCGTTCCTTTGTAGTGGTGTTCATAGTCAACCTCGACTCGACGTCACACTACAATATTTTGTTATCGCGATGACTTACAAGTTGGTACAATTTTGAGACCTATTTGAAAGAAGTACGCAAGGTAATTTGAATCCTGTGGTTAATACTTATTTTGCAATGTACGCACACTAAGTACAATATGTCAGTATGTAGAAAGAACAATGATGACCCAACTCCAATATATTTTTTTCAAAAATGTCTATAAATATGGACGTATACGTCCATATTATATTCAGTAATAGGGATAGTAGATTGATGAACCTGTATTAATCCTGACACATTGCTTTCCAGTGAAGGTCCAGCTTTTCCTTGAAAGTATTCACTGATAGGGCTGATACCACTTGTTGGGGCAAGGCGTTACAATCATTGACTACTCGATGAGAAAAACGGGACCCCACTTTAAGTTCATTAGATCATGGTGTGTGAACCTTCTTGCTATGACCTCTGAGATTATTAGTGCTGGAGGGAGCAAAAAGATAAGACACATTGCCACCCAAATCACAATTAAAGATACAAAATTCCAGTATAAGGTCACATCACGTCCTACGATACGACAAAGGGGAAAAGATTTAGGCGTTTTAAACGCTCATCGTAAGGGAGTCTAGAAAGATCCTTCACTAATTTCGTTCCCACACTCTGGACACGCTCAAGGGAGTTAGTATCCTTTACCAGACATGGGCTAGCTGTTTGGATACACTACTCTAAATGTGGTCTTACGTAGGTGGGATATAAAACTCGAAACGTATCCTCGTCAAAAGATTTCAACGCTCGGCGAAGTAGCTATAACGCACGAAAACCTTTGACAGCGGCAGCGTTGCAACGCGTAGTTGTTTTTAAATAATGACTTATTATTACTCCTAAGTCTTTATGCTCTTGAACGCATGGAAAAGGTTTACCATCAATAGTATAATGGCAAATATTATCGTGACCGATGTGTATTAGCACACTCTTCCCAGCATTGATTTCTAAGCTCCAGCCTCGAGCCCATCTAACTAAATCGTCTAAGTCAGCTTGAAGATCCAGATGATCAGCCGCACTTTTTATTGTTCTCCAGATTTTTACATCATCCGCAAACAATAATGTCGACGACCTAATTAACAGCGATAACTCATTAACGTTGAGAAGGAAGGCCAGAGGGCCTAAGATGGTGCCTTGGGGTACACCAATTTTGACCGGCTTCCAATCGGATAGCGTTCCGTTGACCCTCACTCTCTGTCTGCGGTCACATAAGAAGTTGTCTATCCACTCCTGTACAGTACCTATTATTCCGAAGGTCGTGAGCTTCTGCATAGAACCTAAGTGTGAAACCTTGTCAAATGCTTTGCTAAAATCTATGAATATTACATCGACAGACAGACCGTTATCTAGGGCTGCTGTCCAATCCTCTCTCGTAATAAGTAAGTTAGTCAAGCATGAACGCTTGCTACGAAATCAGTGTTGCTCAGAAGCTAACAGATTGTGTGAAGCTATGTGGCTTAGCAACTTAACCCGAATTATCTTTTCAAGTAACTTAATGACTATGCTAGTTAGACTGTCAGACCGGTAGTTGGATACTGTCTGTCTCTGACCGTCCTTAAATATAGGACTGAATATAGCGTCCTTCCAATCTCTAGAGAGTTGGGCGAGTGAAAGGGACATGTTGAACAGTGTCGCAAGCGGTTTTGAAATAATGTCCGCAAGAGATGACAGCAACCGTGGATGTTACCCGTCAGGGCACGGTGTCTTACCAAGTTTGAGGTTAGTTATCAACGGAAGGACAGTTTCCCCAATCACCTGTACAGATTCAATGGTTGGGATCTCGATGTGAATGGGACAAGTACTTGTTACAATAAACGTAGAGAAGACTACGCTAAAATAGTTTGAAAAAGTCTCAGCTTTTGCTCGATCTGATTCAGCTAGTAATTCTGAATTTTCGTGTAACAGTAACGAGGGAATACCATCACTACGTTTCATTTGCCGTTTAACATACGAAATTAATCGTTTCGGACAAGTACGGCTATCATATACTAACTGTCGTTCGTAAGTGGTACGGGATTTGGCTATGGTTTTCTTACAGATATTACGGAATTTCGGTATTCACGCTTAAATGATGCGTGACCTGTCAACAAGAATAAGTCCTAGAAGTGTTTCCTACGCTTTACCAGCTTCCGAGTTTCCTGATTAATCCATGGAGGGAAATGTGATAGCTTATGTGCTGACCATGGGATAAACGGCGACACTACGGACTTGAATGTAGCCCTAAATTTATTCCATTCACCTACGATCAATCCATCCGCTTCGACCGACCAATCAGTCGAGATAGCACAGTCTCTGATTGCCGGAATATTGGCTCACCAGATATTGGGACGGGGTGGAGCAGGTATAAATCGTATACCATGTGTCCTAAACTTAAAGTGAAGTTCGACGTGATCACTGTTCACTAGTGGAGAAAAGTGCTGGATACCAAAGACAACCTCACAGTGGTGAGTGAGAGCGAGGTCCAGCAGTGACGGACCATGTTGCAAATCAATATGTGTCGGTTTTGTGATATATTGTACAGGTGCAAACTGAATAACGGTTGATAAAATGTCACTACAGAAACCTCCATCTGGAGCTGTAAGCTCTATCCAGTTGATATGCGGTGCGTTGAAATCCCCAATGATGAGACAACATTCTGCCATACTCCAAGAGTAGATGTGTGTTAAGATAAAGTCACCAGCAAGGCAACACGGACTACGGTATATTCCCCCTATAGTCACTAACTCATTTCTAGATATAATCTTACAACATGCTACCTCATATTTACCACTAACATGAGCCTCCGATATGGTTGATTGTATACGAAAGTGATCCCTAACGTATAACATTATGCCTGCCCCCTTGCGACTTAAAACTCTATCACTTCAAATACAGATATACCCGCGATGATGGGAGAACATTCTATATCTATTGTGAATCAATTTTCTGTGACAGCAATTATATTAAGAGTGAATTCGTTCACCATCAGACTTAGCGCGGACGTTTAATTTCTAAGACTACGGGCGTTCGTGTAGCGCATACTTAAGGTGTTTTGGCAATCATTCGTTATATTCATACAGGCCTCGGAAGCATCGGCTTCCAAGACCTGACTACCCCAAAACCCTTAATAGTAAGGGTAGTTTCACCATATAACTTGCGAGTTCTCAACTCCGTAAGCGCATTCTTCCACTTGATTCCATTCTCAAGCGGCCAATCTGGTCGAATACGGATATTTGAGTCACGAAGATTTTGTGCGTTTTTCAATACTATATATCTCTCTTTAAATTTCCCGAGAACCAGCTTCAAGGTCCTTCTTGGTTGGGTCTCGCCTCCAACCCATTTACCAAGTCGTATTACTTTTGTAATATGTACCCCTGAAACCTCTTCAAGTAGTACGTTTCTTATCACAGATTCCACCAACTGCAGATCATGTGCATGTCTTCTAGCAGGATAGTTGTCTTTCGACTCCTCTAGATTCCAAATAATTAAACTAGGGAGGGGTTTAGCTTCTTTTGAAACCGTGTTCACAGCTTTCGATCATGACGTTAGATCCTGTATATTAACTACTGGCATTCTACGATTAGTTTTTATTTTAACAGAGTCCCGGGGAGTCAAGCGAGTGACTCACAACAATATTTGACGAGGCTATACGTTGGGAATTTGGCGGACTGGTCTGAGAGTCCACCAAGGACTTATCAAGTAAACGGTCATTAGTTTTAGCCGTCTTACCTACTCTTCTGTATTTCCGCGTCATCCATATTCCATCAGTCATAGCATCCACATTAGAACCACCAGCTTCCGGGTTTCCTTATTTATCCATGGAGGGCAATGTGATAGCTTACGTGATGACCATGGGATAAACGGCGAAGTTACGTATTCGAGTGTAGCCTTAAACTTATTCCATTCATCTTCGATCAATCCTTCCGCGTCGACCGACCAATCAGTCGTTTATAAACGCAGTTTTTCAGGAGCATACAGCTTCTAATTCATCACCACAACCTAGACAAAGAAGACGACGTCGGTCATCTACGTATGCGTTATTTCGAATGAATTTATCCTTTAGGTAGAAATATTGCTACTGTCAATCTGGATTTTGAGTTCGTGCAGTAAATACTGAGCCAAAAGTCGCCTCTATTAAAACTTTTCACAATCATCCTCGTACAGGAGGACCGTTTCTATTAAGTGATACGCCAACTCGTAGCGTACGGCATCTGGGTTTTTGGATGTTCCATAAACAGCTTACCGAAGACGATTTCGCAAAAATGCGATCACAGTTTACCCAGGTTGTTAAACTCACATCCTAATTAATTGAGTTTACCAATTAAAAATATCAACGAGATTTTACAGCGCATCCAGTCAAACTCGGAAGTAAAGGTTTATATGCTTAGATCATGTTATTTCGCAAGAATAAATTATTTGTCTACTCATAGTGTGTAGCTAAGTGAGAATAGTTGCTAGTCTGAGATGCAAATAAGTGAAAACTATTGTAGCAGAACCTGAATAATGAATTTTAAAGGACTTTGTGATACAATATACCGCGAAATGGAGAAACTCTTGTTCTCTTAATTGTGAGAACAGAAAATACACACTCAAAATTATTAATAATTAGTTTCGATTTTAGCTGTGCACAAAGCGGAAATGAGAGTGTAGCGCAAAAAGTGTCGCGATGCAAGTGTCATTGGTTTTGAAGAATCCAACA